CCACGCCACGCCACGCCACGTCTGACCACGCCCCCCGGTACAGTCGCAGACAGACGCGGGGGCACGCCGACCGTCCCGGCAGAAATCGCGGCTGGCACTAAATGTCGCCAGCGTATCGAGCGTCACGGTAGAACGCTGCCTTTTACAGCGGCGGCCGTCTGAAAGGGAGAAGCGAACGATTCGAAAAGAATGTATAAATAAAGACTGCTGTTTTCGGAATTCGCGGCAGCATTACACCGTCCTGCACTATCCAGACGGCCAGAGACGCGCCGCCGCAGGCGCAGGGCACGGCAGGGCTGTGCCGAGAACAGGTTCAAGTTCGCTGACTCCTCGTGGACGCGGGGGGCCGGGATGGATGGGGGGAGGGGGGGAGGGGGGTTTGCAGCTCCTGCAGCAATGGCGGGCACTGCAACTGCAGCCCCCTCTGCATCGTCCAGGGCAAGGTATATAAGGGAGTGAGCCCGGCCAAGGCCTCATAGTGCTGCGATCCTCCTCAGCCCAGACAACATGAAGACCTGCGTGAGTACCTGCGAGCCCTAGCGAATCGCCTGGCACTCGCCAACTAAAGTGTCATTCTGATTCGGTTTACAGTATTGTGATTCGTTAGGAGCCTCTCCCCCATTGTAATAAATGAGTAAAGCTTTCCGGTAAAGTTGTATGCAGAGGAATGCATAGAATAAGAAAACGGAAGTCACCATCTTAAAGCATAGCGATTTCCGTTTTCTTCTTCCTTGCGCTCTTCTGCATTTCTGCTTTACCGGAATGCTTCATTACGCACCGCACCTGTGCCCTTGTGTGTGCAGGCTATTTTCGAACCCACGAGATGCTGGTTCCCATTAACTTTCCCGAAAAGGCCAACTCTTTGAGGCGCAAACTGAAAGACATCGTGTGTGTTGACAGGTGATTCTCCTGGCGATGGCCGCGGCCTGTGCGGCGTTTCCCCACCCGGGGCCCCCCGCGCCCCCTGGCCCCATGCCCCCGACGCCGCACGCCATGCCGCCCCCCGCGCCCCCGGGCCTTGGCACGGAGATGGGCAAGCAGGGCGCGACGTCGGACCTGAAGGGCGAGGAGGCCCTGTACCTGGCCAGCCCGTACTCGGCGCTCCCCTACCAGCCCTACTCGGCCTACAACATCCGCGCCCCGGGCTACGGCCTGAGCTACGGGGCCATCGGCGGCCTCGGCGGCCTCGGCTACTCGTCGTACGGACTGCAGACCGCCCCCATCTACCCCTACTACTACTAGGGCCTCGGCCAGACAAGATGTGATAGCAACGGCTCTACAAGACTGACTTCATTGGTGCAACGATAGTAAGAAGAATAGCTATTTCCGTAGGAAAAAAAAAACAAAGCAGCTCGCAATGATGAAATAAATTATTTAAGTGTGAACCTGTGTTTTTCATCCATCCCCCCTTAAAATTAAAACTTTACTTAAAAGAAGGAGCAATACAGGGCGTCGTACTGGCTGAAGTAGTTTGGCAGGCACTCGCTCGAAGGTAAATGCGGGGTCGCTGGGGTGATTCACAGGCCGCGCGGGTGCTGTGGTGGGTTTGCCTAACTACTGCAGCCAATTCGACAAATGGGACACCCTGTGCATTACAACGTCCCGGTGCGACCTGGGTGATCCCTCACCCTGCGCCGCAAGTGGAACCGGGGTGGGGTTGGGGG